AGATCTGGGCGATGTATATGCTATGTCTGAACAAGGAGGAGGGTAGAAAGGAGTGTTCCTCTGAGCCTTAATGTCAGTCAAGGCTATTTCTGGGTGGGGCCATTAGTGTAACGTGTGTGTGTGTGTGTGTGTGTGTGTGTGTGTGTAATATTTATTGTATATTATTTCTGCAGGCCTTGGTCTTGTCCTGGAGGAACTCCACCATGCAGGCTTCCACAACAGCACTCTTGTGATCTATACTTCAGACAACGGCATCCCCTTTCCCAGTGGCAGAACCAACCTGTACTGGCCAGGCACAGCTGAGCCCCTCCTGATCTCATCTCCTGAGCATCCTTCGCGTTGGGGCCAAGTCAGCAGTGCCTACATCAGCCTCCTGGGTAAGAACAGCTGAGAGATGAACTGGTGGATTTGTCCCATGGAGGAGGTTGGGATGTGCTAAAGGAAACTATAACACACTTTCCACTTTGCATTAGCCTTTTCTGAAGATCTTCCTCTTTGGAGAGAGAGGAGGAAATTATGGTTGCAGCTGACGTGTCTGGCAGTTTCGTCTAAGTGGATGTCCTTCTCGGCTCTTTCCCAAGTATATTTTCAGGAATATCTATGCTTTACAAACCCTTCCAAACAGTTCTGTTATGCAGAACTTATTTAATACTTATTTAAAGGATTGGAATAAATAAACCCTGTAAATTTCTTATATGGTGGCTTTTCACATAGGGTTTATTCAACAAGCCATGGTTAAATAAGTCATGGCAAATATGGGAACCAACCTACTAAGTGATTGGATGCACATGTGGTTGGCAGAAGACAGCCTACGTCGTATTTCCCTTTTCTTGTTCCCTCATTCAAAGGCCAAAAAAGGGAAACAAAGTGGAAGAATGGGAAGCCAGTATAGTGTAAGGGCTGAAGGAGGGAACCACAATGCTGAGACCAGACAGAAGGGTTGCGTAAACCTTAGGCAAGCACTTCTCAATCTCATGGATCAGCAAGGAAAAGCCAAAAGTTTCCTGACTTTAAAAGGGAGAAAAAAGTGGCTTACGATTTAAACCCTGGGTTGAGAAAGATAAATTTCTGCGGGCTGCTTAGTTATGACTTCTTTCTTGTCTGCATTAAAGCAACTCCTTTAGCCATTGTATTGGAGAAACCTCTGCTGTTGGGTTGAATTTACCCCTGAGTAGAGATATACCCCTGAATATATATGATGTTTGACCCATTGGTTCCTACCTTACCATCTTTACTGAACCTAAATTCTATTGAGGAGATGCCTGTAGAAAGTATAGAACTGGAGCTAACTGATGTAACCTAGAAAATCTTAGGAAGAAATAGCTGTTTTTTTAATAGGACTTAGAAATATTGTTCCATACTAGATAACACCTGCAGCCAAAAGTTCCTTCTGTTCTCTTCCCTCTGCATCAGATAGCAATAGCACTTAGACTTATACACCGCTTCACAGTGCTTTTACAGCCCTCTTTAAGCGGTTTTACAGAGTCAGCCTATTGCCCACAACAATCTGTGTCCTCAATTTACCCACCTTGGAAGGATGGAAGGCTGAGTCAACTTTTGAGCCAGGTGAGATTCAATCTGCCAAATTGCAGGCAGCCGGCAGTCAGCAGAAGTAGCCTGCAGTACTGCATTCTAACCACTGCGCCACATGATGCATGCCTCAGAGCATGTTTTCTGCTTCAGCTTTCCCTTCTCTCTTTGCAGATATCACTCCCACCATTCTGGACTGGTTTTCTGTGCCATATCCCAGGTACAGCCTGTTTGGGAAGCAGATAGTGCAGCTCACCGGGAAGTCTCTGCTTCCGGCATTATCACTGGAACCAAAATGGAGAACTGTGTTTGCCAGTCAGAGCCTGCATGAGGTGACCATGCACTATCCCATGCGAGCTGTGCAGCATGGCTCCCTGCATTACATTCACAATCTACAGAACCGAACCTCCTTTCCCATTGATCAGGATTTCTATGTTTCACCCACATTCCAGGACCTGCTGAACAGAACTCAAGCAGGGCAACCTACTCATTGGAATAAGACCTTGCGTAGCTACTATTATCGGGATCGCTGGGAACTGTACGATCACAGCACCGATCCTACTGAAAGCCACAATGTGGCTTCTGATCCACGCTATGCACACGCTCTTGAAGAGCTGCAGGGGCTGCTGTTGAAGTGGCAGTGGGAGACCAGTGACCCCTGGGTATGTGCTCCTGATGGTGTCTTGGAGGATAAGCCTGTCCCCAGGTGTTGCCCACTCCATAATGAGCTGTGATTTTCTTGTTGCCTTCCTGTTTTGGTGGCAGTTACTCAGCCGTCTGCAACAGGAAAAGATTTGCAACTCAAGCTGGTGCTGATGCAACAATTGCACTTTGCAGAATTAAATAATATTGAAGTTGCACCTGAGAGAAGAATTGGAGTAAAACGCAAGGAAGTGTTTGCCCTCCACACAAGAATGAAATGAAGTTTTTTTAACATTTGCTGCCATAAGAACGCCACAAGCATCTTCCAGATGGAAGGCCACACTTGCCATCCTTCCCTGTAAGAATGGATAATGGCCAGACACTCTGAAAATGATGGAGAGTTGTAGTCCAGATTAAAATAACTGGAGAAGCCCAGTTTAAGAGATGAGTTGATCACTACTATAAGTGTCCTCACCCTAATTGTGGTATCACAAAAATACAGTTGGGCTGGTCCCATATCAGTTGTTACACATAGGGCAAGGATAGAAACTGCCCAAGTTTAAAAACAGTTGAAAGAGTAGAGATGAACATTTATCTTTAGATTCTGTAGCCTGCACATTTCATTATTCTACCACAGAATACTGAGATGACTAGAAACAGCTTTTGGTTTGCCTGCAGGGGTGGTATAGATCTGCAAAGCAGTTGCTCCAATTTAAAACTAGTTCTCCAAAATATGCATTATACGGCTAAAGCCTACTTTTATACAATAAAGAAATGAAATGATGTTCTTAACTAGCTTTTTTGTTTGTGAGTGCTTTTATTCCTTCATTAAAACAAGGGTAGGCTTGTTTTAGACTACATCTGGCTTCTTCCCCATCTCCATGTTATACTTACAAAGCCCTGTTAGCCTAAATGACAGTCACAAAGTCAGCTAGTGAACTAAATGCCAAATGAGAATTTGACCCTGATCTAATACTAAGCCTGCTAGCTAAATCTCTGTATTACATGTCAAGGAATAAGGCAGACATAATTAAATTTGGAGTTTCAGTGTGACAGAAACATGGGCAAAGTTCTATTAGTCCAATTTTGGATTTTAATACACTAATACACGGATGTCAAACTGGCAGCCCACAGGCCGGATGCGTTATGTGCAGGCCCCCACCCCACCCCAGGTCCGCAAAGGCAAAAAACATGGCAATCGAGTTTGACACCTGTGCACTAATACAATGCAGGGAATGCTAATTTGCTTAAAATATGCTCAGTTTGCTAAATAATGTGTGTGATAACTTTTTAAAAACAATGCAAGGGTAGTCTTCTGTGAGAAATTCTTTTATTTAAAAAAATGAAATGCATCCATTATTTTCATGCTCAACGTTCCATATACTGTATGCTCGTGCTCATGTGGAACTGTGTGCTCCATATGGTTCAGACCAGTCTCTGTGCATTTCTGATTTGAGTACCAACTCCACCCAAAAGTTTTAAAAATTCATTATAGCAAACCTCTGCTTATACATCCCACCTAAAACAGCTTGTGGTACTTTCCACATTTAGCCAGCATATGATTTGTTGTCAGGAATTCAGATGGTGAGGGAAGATAAAACCAGTTTGAAATAGGTTGGCTGAGGAAGGATGGGGACCATGAGAAAAGAAAGGGTAACTCTCTAAATGGTAAGTATGCAGCTGATAGGTTTGGAATATGTTCTATTTCCTGCTAGAACAAACAGTAGTACATTTTTCCCTAGGCACAGGTGAAGCAATTGCCTTAAGTCCCGTCTATTGATCTAAAGAGGTCGGCGAGGCACTTGTTCCACCCACACTATCTTCTTCTGCTCATCAGTGACAGCCACACGGACACAGCTGTTGAGAGCATCAAGGTCACCCCAGGCATCGGGAGCAATTGTGCGATAAAGGCAGGACACCGTCTCCAGCTGGGCCTCATCTTTCCGGGCACTCTCCAAAAGTTGGTCCTCAGTTGCTCCAAGGCGCTGAAGAGCTTTCCTGAAATTCAAGCAATTTAGGTATTGGAATCAGAATTTGGGAGCTTACTCACGAAGTATGTTTGTGTGGGTGCGAAGGAAAGGCTGAAGAATGATGGCCACAGAAGAAAGAATTGCCAAGATCAAGATACAGTAGATAAACACAAAATTATGTGCTAGATGAAATGATTTTAGAATATAATAGAATTTAGAATAGAATAGAATAGAATAGAATAGAATAGAATAGAATAGAATAACAGAGTTGGAAGGGACCTTGGAGGTCTTTTAGTCCAACTCCTGCCTAAGCAGGAAACACTACAGCACTTCAGACAAATGGTGATCCAACATCTTAAAAACGTCCAGTGTTGAAGCATTCACAACTTCTGGAGGCAAGTTGTTTCAATGATTAATTGTTCTAACTGTCAGGAAATTTCTCCTTAGTTCTAGGTTACTTCTCTTCTTGATTAGTTTCCACCCATTGCTTCTTGTCCTACTCTCAGGTGCCTTGGAGAATAGCTTGACTCTCTTCTTTGTGGCAACCCCTGAGACATTGGAACACTGCTATCATGTCTCCCCTGGTACTTCTTTTCATGAAACTTCTTTTTTTCATTAAATCTTTTCATTTTCGGTGCATGTTTGGTGATTAAAAATAATTGGATAACAATTCTGCCAGAGAGAACTGTAAGTCATCAAAGTGACAGTACTCACTTGATTTTCTTGGCATTTTTCTCACTGATGGTGATGAGAATAATGATGGGATACATGTCCATTGCCAGAAGTTCTTGCACACTCTCCAGGCCCAGATCCAGCCAGGCATGCACATCCTAGAGACAGTGAGATGTATAAGTGCATGGATACCACTGGACAATATTTGCAGTACTAGTCCTAAAGGAATATGCACCCTAACCCCTCACCCAATAGAACTGCATCTGTACCCAAGTACAACACCTGTTCTTCCAGCCTCTAATACCTTTTGCATTAACTGTTCCAGATCCCATCGAGGAATACAAGAGCTGCCATTCAACTCTTTGTTTTCTTGGAAGGATTCTGTGTTCTGAGTATCTGCAGGAGCTGGAAGGAGGGGGAAAAATGAGAGGGCATAGTTCTAAATCCAAACTAAATCTCTTTTTCTTATGTTTTGTTAGAAGTAATGTTTGGATACATGAGAGAAATGAGAAAATCCAGTACCAAGAAATATTCTGTGTTCTAGGAACAAGACAATCATTTGAACAGGAATTGTGAACTCAAAGGTGCTCTTTCAAAAGGCAGCTGGCCTATGTTAATCCAATTGCCTTTTGAAAAATAACCTTTGAGACAAACATGACCTGGATGGAGAATCTCCATAGACATGAACTCGTGAAGTTTACTGTGAGGCAATGCGCTGTCTTCTAGTTCAGCTAGACATTTCCCTAACTTTGTCTCAAGTTCAGATGCTGAGGTTTCCAGGACTTAAAACAATAATTCCCTGCAAAAAGACTCTTGTATACCTGATGGACATTTTTCAAATTCCCTGGAAAGGCATAGCTTGTCAGCCACGATTTTCCTCAAAAGTGCTGGCACCACAAGTACTGGACGTGGCTGCGCAGGTCTGTAATGCCTGACAAAAGTGTACGGCATCAGGCTGACACAATTCCTGGGATTCACTAGAAAGGAAAGAGGAAAGCAATCAGATAAATAAATGCTTGGAGACTTCAGCCACTGTTTGTTTTTTTATTCCTAGCTATGTTTTAAGAAAGTATATTTGAAGACATTTATTAAATGGCCCCAATTAAAGACTCTTAGTTTAGAGTTACTGTCAGAAATATAAAAAGCCAGAAACATAATAACTGCAGTGGGGCCTACGATAAATAATCTGGTTACTACAGAAAGCTGTTTTTTCTAGAAAATAGCCAAACTTCTAGAAAGTCTCAGAGACGTTTTTAATTTGCAAATTAATTAGTTATCCCAAGTAGATGCTTTATGGAACAGTTCTGTATGCTTTTAAAAAAAGAAAGAAAAGCTCCATCTAGGCTTAAATTTGCCTAGATAAATATTTGTAGGCTGTAATCATAACTTTCAGCAACAATAAACAACATTCCAATAGTTGAACTTACCTTTTGGCTTGTTTGAATCTGATAAACTATTTTGCATAGTGGACCAAAGTGGATTGATCCTGTTACTTGTACTCACAATACGGACCAACTTGTGTTGAAAACTGGAATTCTATGGGCAAAGGAGAAGGCGTTACATTAAACCCAGAAGGTATAGAACCAGCTCAGGAGTTATGGCAGTAGCTAGCTAAGTAGGAGCTAAGCTTAGGATCACCACCTTGGGGAAGTTGCCTTAGAACAGGGGTTTGAAACTCACATTGTCATGACGTCATCACGTGACATATCACAACTTTCTCCCCCTTCGCTAAGCCAGGTGTGGGTGTGGCCAGCACGTGACGCATCCAGCCTGAGGGCCATGAGTTTGACACCCCAGCCTTAGAACAATGTCCCCAAAGGACTTTCATGCCAAGCCTTTGACTCAAGCAGTTCTCACCCAGATGCCTCCCACGCTAGTAGGAAAATAAGTCCTATGATAGTGCAGTATATCTGGTACCTGGGGTTGGCCTATTGTTAAGAGTTCTCTGGGCTGCAATTTTCGATTACTACTGTGATATCATCAGTGCAGAAGATGTGGGGGATGTGAGGTTGTGCAGTATACAACTTTCTACTATGTCAGTTACTATTTAGACATAATACAGTACTGCACAGGCTGCCAATTAATTTGTGTGAAGTCTTTAACTGCATTTCTTTTATAAGGTTAAGTCTACATCTGTTGATTGCCCCTTTGTTGGAGTGCCTTGATTCAAATAATTCTTTTGGACTTTTTGATAATTTTAAAATTGCTATTCCCATCTATTTCCTAGGTTGTGTGGAGGGAGATCAGTGATGTAAGCAGAACTATGCCACCTACAATCTGACCTAAGTGTAGTACACAAAATTATCTGCTACTATATCCTATGTCAATGACTACTTCAGCTTCAACCACAACAATACACGAGCTCACAATAGATACAAACTCAAGGTAAACCACTTCAAATTTGATTGCAGAAAATACGACTTCAGCAACAGAGTGGTCAACGCCTGGAATGCTCTACCTGACTCTGTTGTTATATCCCCCAACCCCCATAATTTTAATCTAAGACTGTCTACTGTCGACCTCACCCCATTCCTAAAAGGTCTGTAAGGGACATGCATAAGCACACCAGCATGCCTAACATCCCTGTCCTACTGTCCCCATTTATTCATACCCATTTACTGTGTTCATATTTATATTTATACTTATACGTTATCTTTTACATGTTTGACAAATATAAACAAACAAACAAACAAACAAACAAACAAACAAATAACTGTAATGCGGCATGGAGTTCCTCTTCCTTATGTCCATCTTGATCCAGCTTGGTGGAAATGCATTTTTGTAATTTAGTTTGCAGTCTAAATCAACTTGCAAATTTAACTTCCTAAAGCAGAGTGAAAGGTTGTCTCATTACCTTCCGGGAAACCATATTCTTTTGGGCCAATTCTTGAATGTGGGTAATGAGTTGCTGTTGTGCCCTATATCAAAGAAACGGGGACAGAAATGTGTAAGGCAGAAGAAAACAGATATGCATCTCTGCATTAGATAGACAAGAACGTACTCCCTTCCAACCTATTGCGATGATCATACTCACTGAAAGTAGTTGGGGATGGTACCAGCATCCATGTCTTTCATGGTATAAGGATTCACCTGGCAAGCACTCCACTGAGTTTGGCCTTGATAGACAGTGTCAGTGACATGGAGAATGTTATGGCATCCAACTGAGAGTTCCCCAGGATTTTGTTTCTCAAGGCATAGGTTGGATCGGATATAGAAGGAGTCACCAGATGTTACCAGCTTGGAGTTCAGGTCAGTCAATAGTTTCTTGTAACCTAGTAAGATGAAGTTTGTTGGAAACTGTGAATCAAAGTACAGCAATAGCATGGGTCAAGTGGGACTGAAGATAAATATGTGAGAGCACAATTACGGTACTTCCCAAACAGATCCATTGCATTCCATATTCATGTCCAGTGAGATACCTAAATCAGGGGGATACATTTTGATGCCCAATCACTGTATGTCCAATTTCCAATTCACATTTAGGGATGGGAAAATGGAAATCCCAGGAATTTTCAGGAATTTTCATAATATGTGACCAGAAGGCACTGTGCACTCTCAAAGCCATTCAATTGCTACCAAAGCTGAGGACCTCTTAAATTGGCTCTGGTTACTCCCTGCATACACTGGATCTGTCAATGGCATCTGTTGTACCCACTTACGGTAGGTGCTGGAAGCCTCAAGCAAAGGGCTTCTCAGAACTTCATTTATTAAGACCTATCAGAAAGCCACCCCACCTTCTAAAAGCCACAAGCAGAATGGAAGAGGGCTAGCGTCTGGCTAGCATTGTCAGTGCTTACCCTGGGTAATATTTTTTCCCATTTTTTTTTATTTCTCAACTGATTTTTCTTAGAATTTGGAAAAAAACATAAATGCTGGGAAGGAATTCCTGCATGGAAACACCAAGTTGATCCTCCTTCATACTAATTACAATGGAACACAATCTACTCCCCCATTCCAATTATGATTAAATCTTAAATTGAATAGTATAATACAGGAAAGTTTCTTTCATGTTTTCTAGTATACCACTCTTAGGGGTACTCACAAATCTACTATTTCATTGTAGGATCCCACTAAGAGGGAGAAATAGCTGATCACCAGCATTCTTGGATCCTACATTATGACTTTTGCACTTCGAAGCTATCATGTACACCAGGGATAGATGATGTGAGTTGTCAACAAAGCCCAATTTCTATTAACTGTCTGGCTTATCATGAGGTCTAATGGAAGTCATAGCTCAGCAGCCTTTAGAGAGACAGACAGTAGCCCATCTCCAAGGCAAGCAAATATCCTTACCCTCCATGTTGTGCTTCACAGACAAGCAACAAAATCCATTCACTTTTTCCAGGACCCAAAGAGCCTCTTCAAGAGTTGCATCTTCTAGGACAGCTTTGAAACCTGGTTCCATGACTCCATAATCCACCTGTACATTCAAAGAACTTGAAATGTTGATCAAAGAGACACTGCTTGAGGAGGTCAAACAATTGCAACCTAGCACAGCTCCAGGGACAGGAAAGACCTTTCCCATATTAATGATACTTTTACAGAAATAGTAGCAACTTGACAGTGAAGGGCGGTGTTATAATGAAACTGGCCACTGAACTGCATACTGTGTTTCCCCGAAAATAAGACTGGGTTTTGTTTTTCTTTTGACTCCTGAAATAAGCGCTTGCCCTTATTTTTGGGGAGGTCTTATTATTTTTGAGGTGCAGGAAGCGGCGAGCGTGGTCACCTCATGGCTGCTGCTGTGTTGCAATATTTTCAGGAAGGATTTAGTTTCAGGGAAGGTCTTATTTTAGCGCATGCACTCAAAATCCCAATTGGGCTTATTATCCGGGGAGGTCTTGTTTTGGGGGAAACAGAGTAGCTTAGAGAGGAGTTTCAGTCATTTTATACGATATAAAATGAGACGTGGGACACAAAATTATGGGACATGATTCATTGTTCAGTAAAATCTTATTCTGGTAATTGTTTAACTACTGCCTTGAAATTAGACCAGTTTGGAAATGTGAATAAATCTAAATCCTTCACAATTTGTGAGCTATTATGTTATTTATTAAATATAAATACACAATACACACTTACATGTATACATATGCTGTACACACACACACACACACACACGAGAATTAACAAGGTTGATACTATATGGTACAAGGCTACTACAGCTAATCTTTCTGCCTTCTATTTTACTCTAAACAACAACCCTGTGAGGTGAGAGAGAGTAACTGGCCCAAAGCCACCCAGCCAGCTTTCCTGCCTAACGGAGGCCTAGAATTCAGTTGTAGCACCTTCACCACTGCACCAAACTGGCTCTCTTCTTCTAGCACATGTTAGTGTATCCCAGTGGTGGGTTTCAAAAAATTTCCGAACTTACTCTGTGGGTGTGGCCTCCTTTGTGGGAGTGGCTTGCCAGCCATGTGACTTGGGGGGAGTGGCTTGCCGGCCATGTGTTTTCTTTCTTTCTTTCTCTCTCTCTCTCTTTTCTTCCTTTTGTCTCTCTGTCCCTTTTTCCTTTTTTTCTTTCATCTCTCTCTCAGTTTTTCTTTCTTTTTTTCTTTCTTCCTTTCTTTCTCTTTCTCTGTGTGAGTCTGTCTGTCTTTCTGTGTGTGTGTGTGTGTGTGTGTGTGTGTGTGTGTGTGTGTCAGTGGTGGGTTTCAAAAATTTTGTAAAAAATCTGTAGGTGTGGCCTGCTTTCCAGGTCGACTGGTGGAACATCTTCTAACCGGTTCAGTAGATGACGAACCGGTTCTACCGAACTGGTACGAACTGGTAGAAACCCACCTCTGGTGTATCCTGCCCAATCATTCCCATGTGATCATCATATAAGCAAAAATAGCAAAGCAAGACTATGGTTTTTTGCCTTTAGTTTGCTTAGTATGATATCTGAACTGGGATTCGGGGCCTATGTGCTCCTGGATTTAATAGAAAAGTAACAGTCAACCATTACATTTCAGATATTAACCAATGGAACAGCTTGCTTTCAGAAGTTGTGGGTACTTTATCACTGGAGGTTTTTAAGAAGACTGGAAAGTCACTTGCCTGAAATAGTATAGGGTCTCTTGCTTGAGCAGGGGGCTGGACTAGAAGACCTCCAAGGTCCCTTCCAGTTCTATTCTGATTGAGTACATTGAGATATAAAAACTAAAACTATGGGAGGTGGTTTCCTGGGTTGTTTAACCACTCACATGAACTATGCAAAAGCAGTTAAGCAGTTAAGCAGTAAGCTTCTGTTTAATAATAAACTGGCTTATTCTGGCTTACTTTATTTTCAAATTAATTAATTGGTTCCAAGCTAGTTGTAAAAAATTTACCCTGAAGTATTCCAGTGTTGTGCCATCCTGAACATTTCGCCATCACTGCTCTGACTGGCTGAGTAGATTCTGAGCTTTTCAGACGCTGTGATTGTAGTTCAATGAATGATAGCAAAATTATCTTTCCTTGCCTCAGAAATGGCCAGATTGGCAGGGGAATTCAGGGAACTAACGTCTATGCAGCGGAAAGATATCCAGTCTGGAAAAGACCAACAAGACTTTCCAGTAGATAGATCACATTTTCCCAGCCCTAAAACTGCTAATGAATCGCTGGAGAACTACTATGGGATTTTTATAGCAGTCATGATCATTCTAGGCGCTCAGGCTGCAGACTTGCTGGAAGTACCTTCAGCACCACTTAGAATGCCTGATTTTCCTATTTTGTTTTCTTTCTCATGGACTGATGCAGGGGTGGGATTGGAAAATGTTAGCAACCTCTGCCCGGTTGCTGGGTGGGCATGGCCTCCTACACCATGGGGGATGATTTTTGCCTTCCCCAGACTCCGGAGGCTTTTCTTGAGCCTCCGGGAGGGTGAAAACGACCTCCCCTGGGCTCCGGAGGCCCTCCGGAGGCCGGAAACAGTTCTGTTTTCAGACTTCCAGGAGTCCTGTTTTTCGCCTTCCTGGAGCCTCTGTGCAGGCCCTGCACTAATCTGGCATGATGAACAGGCCACGTGGAGACTCCTGAGAGCACTGGTGAAATTCAACAGGTTCCGACAGGTTCTGGAGAACCGGTAGCGGAAATTTTGGGTAGTTCAGACAACCGGCAAATACCTCCTCTGGCTGGCCCCAGAGTGAGGTGGGAATGGGGATTTTGCAGTATCCTTCCCCTGCCATGTTTATCAAGCCACGGCCACCAAACCGGTAGTTGAAACAATTGAATTTCACCACTGCCTGGGAGTGTGGGGTGAGGTGGGTGGGGCCAACTGGTCCTTGCAATAACTGGTTCAGTGAACCGGATGCAAAATTAACATCCGGTTCACCCGAACCGGTGCGAACCAGCTGAATCCCACCCCTAGACTGATGGCATGTCAGTCAATATAAAATCTTGAGCATTTCCTTTTAAACAGGGAGAGGGACAGAGATGGCGTTAGAATGAGAAACTTATCCAGAGAGAAATATCTCATCTTTTACACAAATGTACACACTGTGGAGCATTTTTTTTTTCAGATGAGCAGCTTTTCTGTTTCCCTACTCTTCTTGATCTAGTTTAAAACACACTTGAGATTGTTCCTGGCTGTTAGTGTGATTCATACATCTTTTCAGCCAACCAAACACTGTAAGCACTGTCCCTTTCTGACTCAGAACAGAGCACAGAGAACTACCACCATCAGTGTTTGTTAGCTGCCCTTTCACACTGTCCCATAATGGGATGCCTTGTCCCTGCCTCCTTCAATTCCATTAAAGTAACAGCTTAAACAAATCCTTTCCCTTTTTTCTCAACTGGAAAATAAAATAATTGCCATGCAACCTCTTCTAATTCCATGTATTTCTTGATGTATACTGAACTTTTCTTTTCCTAATGAACGTTTATCCATTGTTTGGAGGAAATCCTAGGGGTAATTTGAAGGGGAGCAGCACAAACACAAGGAGATTGCAAATATAACCAAATCATCACAAACCTTCAAAAACTTACTATCTGTGACTATAGTAACAAACTTACATTATTGTGACCTCTAATCCTTATCCTATTAGCAATTCTGCATTTGAACCAGGGTGGATAAAAATCGATGACTTAAAAAAAATCAGATTTTTTAAAAAAAATTAAATTGGATTTTTAAAAAAATCAATTTTATTTTAATAAAATGCTTTTGGAGTAAAAATCTATCTAAAGATAGTTTTCTGTTTAAGATACATTAATAATTTCATTTATTCAGCATGAAATGGAGCTTAGTTATGTAGCATGAAGCTGTATATTCTGCAATATTGGGACTGTCAGCGAGTCAACAGCAGGTCAGAGGAGGAGCTGCTGCAGGACAGAGATAACAGTTGCTTTTTAAAAATTATGATTTAAACCGAGTTGATTTAAATCAAGCCTTTTTTACTAGTGATTTAAATCAGGATTTAAATCGTGCTTTAAATAGTGATTTAAATCAGGATTTAAATTGTCTTGATTTAAATCAAATACACCCTGATTTGAACCCCCTTTCTGAACTTTGATAGAATCTATAAGGGAAGCCAACAAGATGTGATGTGGGTGAAAAAAATCCCCTCCAGACTATTCCTTAAAGCACAAGGTAGCAACATGTTGAAATTTAAACTGTTGTAACTGCACTAATGGCAAGATACTCCCAAACTGCAAAGCCCTGTTCAGGTGTGATCAGCAGCTGGCCATGTTGCTCTAGTACCAGCACTGCATCATTTGGTAGAGTCTATTATCCTTTAGAAAAGGGGGTCCCCAACCCCGATCTGTGGACCAGCATGGGCTGGGCCATGTCAGAAACTGAGCCATGCAAACAAGCAAAGCCCAATTCGCAGGATGCAGGCAGCACACAAAACCATGCCCCCTCTGGTCCATGGAAAACCCTCTCTCCATGGCACCAGTCCCTGGTGCCCCAAAGGTTGGGGGACGCTGCTTCAGAGATTTTGCAGGAAGGTAGAACACGCCATGCAACAAAGATGTAGGAATATCTTACCAGCACAATCTGCTGGCCTGGTGACAAAGACATCTCATCAGGAATGGATCCAGGAGTGACTCGATGAATGAAGATGCCAGTCTGGTTGCCCCCAGTGATGCTGATCTGCTTCAACAAGTTATCGGCTTGGAAGGCAATAGTTGTGATACGGCTTGGGAAGCGCTGTGCAAGTCGGCGGCGCATGGGTACACTAAGAGGAGAACAAAGCAGACAAGATAAAGTGCATACAGGTTCTGGCTCCACCCACTGATGCATCTCTCCAACTTTAGACTGGCTTCTATGCTGGTCTTGACTGAGCAGAAACACTTATCTGTGGCTATTCAATGCGAAGATTAAAACAAATTTAGATCAAGCAAAGCCATTATGGGCTTGAAATCAGTGGGAGAGAATATTTTAGGATTTATGTATATATTTGAATTTTTATAATATGTTATGGGTATTTGCATGAAATGGCTGTAATAGGGAGGGTTGCCTATAATAAAATAGTAAGTATGGCCGATTACAAATATCCATTTACCTATGACAAAGCGGTAGATGGTTGCTCTCTACTCTGTAGGCTCTAACACTCCAGTTTATTCTTGCTATTTTATTCTTGTCTTTTTTGCTGGGCCTATTTGCAGCATTTGTCTTTTGTCTTTTTATTTGTTTAATAAAAAAAATGCTGAAAGGGTCAGAGACAATATTTAAGCTAAAAGTAGTGCTTCACACTATTCTGCAGGATGTCATCTTCCTCTTAAAAATATTTGAATAGCTTTTAAAAATATGGGGCAGAGGGGGAAAAAACTAAGCAAGGTTCTTTGGCAATTGTAAATATAAAACTTTTAACATTTTCCTGCCATCTAGTGGCTACCAGATTTTGCTGCCCATTTTAGTTTTAAGTAATGTTACAGTGCAGTTGTTGGCAGCTGTTCTACATAAATAAAGCAAATAACACACCTCTAATTTCTACTTGGACATGAACAGGCAACAGTCAAGAGAGCAGTGCAATGACCTGCAGGCAGGCTTTTATTTAAACCAGGCTTATTCATTTGCAGAAAGTAGCCACAATGGGAAAGGGTATGCCGGAGACTTGGAATAAATTTGCCACACATTAATAGATATAAAAGCAGAGATGGTATTTAGCAGATTCGGGCTGGTTTGGATAAACTGGTAGCGGAAATTTTGAGTAGTTTGGAGAACCTGCAAATACCACCTCTGGTTGGGCCCTCCCTCCCGCCCCGGTCGTTCCCTGTCCTA